CTGATGCTGCTTGGCCTGCTGTGTTCGTCCAGCTCAATGAGCTTTCCTTTTCTTTATTATTCAAGTGTCACCTACAGTCGAATAAGGTTTTCGACTTCACTGCAAGAGTTGTTGGCAAGGAGTCTAGGAAAAGACGCTGTTAGCAGTGGTCGTCTCTTGGCTGAAGATGTGTTTTGAGTACATGTTCCTAATGACAAACAGGTTTCTACCTCCCGGATAGAATGGTTTCCTAGATCTTGCCCTGTTCTGTGTGTTGCCATTTAATCTGTTCTCACCCGGAAGAGGGGCAAGCAAGATGTGCCTGTATCGAAATCCACGTATTGTTGATTTCTGCACTGACTACTATAAACATTTCAAAGCCAAACACCAAGGGCATGAAGTTTCAGAAGTGGTTGGATTTCTCAAAGCTGGAACAAGCGCTCAAGGAAGAATCACAAACTAGAGATTTGCCTATGTACTCAACATGTGCACTCCGTTGCATTGAGGATGAGTGGGTGACACAAAACTGCTGTAGAGGTCCTTGTCACTACTTCTGCCAAGCTTTGATTTTAAAAACAAATGAGGTAATCCAGAATCTACTAAGGGCAACGTTACCTCTGCGTGACAAGTCATCGCTATCCAAAAATGGCCACTAAAAGGCTTGGAAAGCTGCATGACACTTTGAATCAGCAAGCAGATGATTTTCAGTCTGATGATAAAGGCTGGAAGAAATTCTACAAAACTCTGAATTCTGTCTACTCGATGCATGACCAAGGTTCTGAAAGGTTGTCATTGCTCACTAAAACAGCCCATGTCCTAGGGAGATGAACGCGTTACGTAAAACAATCCTCCCATTGACGTTCAATGAAGAAGCAGTCAACAGGTTTTCACTGGTAGCCATCAGTGTCTTGATGCTCCCAAACTATTTAGTGACACTCAAACTGCTGTCCAGAGGCAAAGCTGATGCAATCCTAATTGAGTCAATGTCTGATCAAGATGCTTGCTGAACTCATTCCACTAATGTGGACAAAACAAACTATCTTGCAAGCATACAAAGATGCCTTTTTCACCTGTACAAGAGGAAAGAAATGCACAAATCTTAGAGCAATCATAGCATGGTGTTTACAATGAAACCAGACAGCTGCATAAGAAATGCCAAGAACGGAAGATTGACTTCTTTTGCACATATACTGACCTGACCCAGGACTCTAATGTTGTCAGCCAGGAAGATCTTTGGGACGTAATGGAGAGATTCAACTGCCTTGAGAAATTGCTCACAAATTTTTGGTAGCTCTAATAACAGCAAGTTCTTCTATGGATGACTCTTGTGATCAATTTTTAGTTACTAATGGAGTTAAGCAGGCTGCAGTGTTAGCACTAATCCTTGATTTTCTCTGCCATGCTCTCTAATCTGTGACAGATCAACTGAAGAGTGATGTCTGGACATGTAGAACATACTTCTGGAGAATCAACCTACCTTACCTGATCAAGAAACACCAATAACAACAGATTCAATTTGATTGTGTAAACTGTTCTTTCTTAGTTGTTAAATATTAAGCCCTGTTGAAGACGTTAAACAAATATCTGCCCTGAAAAGATTGATCAGTGTTCTGCTCACTTCATGATGGTCAGTTAACCATTGTAATACAGAATGATTTCTCGTCAGGTGCCTTTTTAGATCGCCAGTGGCAACAAGCAATGCTGCATGTTGGCTGTACCCTTTTTTTGCATGCATGCATGCAGTCAAAGCCTTAACAGATAGGAGTACTCCTTTCAGCAAAGGTTCAGGGTTTGCATGAAGAACTGAAGTTTTGTTTACTGACCTCTGTGTTCTGAGCATGCATTCTGGAGGGCATCCAATAACTTGTTGATTTACGTTGGCCATACAATAAGTCAGGGAAAAGATTTTTTTTTTTTGAACTACCTATCTGTTAGATCCTGCACTCCACTAGGTTCCAACTAGATTGGAAGTGCATTGTCTGGTACCAAAATGTTGGATGATAGAATCAACAATTGGCTAGCAAAAGCAAGTGTGGCATTGAACAAACTTGCCTACTGGCTTTGGAGAAAGCTTGTCTCAAAGCAAACATCTAGCTATGAGCGGCTCTTGCATCATTTTTCTCTACACCTGTAAGGAAGGAATAACTTTGCCTCCCCTCAAGGCAACTTGATACGTTCACCTTTTTTTTTTTGTTGTTTTTGCTGCGTTAATCTATCTGCAGCATAAGGCGCCAACGTAAAATCTCAAACAATAAAGTTTGTTTGTAAGATATTGCTAGATACCTACGTAAAGTGCATGCATATCCAGAGCTCAGCTCCACTAGCTTGGTGGTTAGTTTCTGTATACCAAAGTCAGTGTTCCATAGTCAGCTGAGGTTGATAACATGCCAGAGGGCATCCCAAATTCATTTAAAGACCTTCTAAAAAAAATCTTAAATTGGATCCCACTGCATGAGATAAGATTGAATCAATGAAATATCCACATGGAGAAATCTCCTCCTCTTCAAGGAATCCCAACATTTGTGGAGAACAAAGTCAGGTCCTTTCAGGGCAAGTAAGCACATCACAAAGCTAGTGGCTTCACAGTGACATTGCATGTAATGTTTGAAATCCAATCTGTGAATCAAGATTTAATCTAAAATCGGAAAATGGCATCAACCTACACAGTAACATTAGTCTTGTTGCTGAACACTAATTTGTCAAAACAGTGATGAGAGAATCAGTCATTGTGATGGAGATCAAAAGGCAACTGAAAAAATTGAGGGAAATTTGATATTTTGCAGTTAAAAGCTTACAACACCATTGCTACTTGGTTTTCTTTAAACTTGCCAGTTGCATTCCTAATTTTGATTCCAGTGGAAGTTCAGACTCTTAATTCATCTGAAAAATACTCATGGAGGATTATTTCAGTTTACTATATAAAATCCACCCCACGTATGCACTGAAACCAAGTAGTGAGCACTGTGCTAGAAGAGAGACAATCCAGTATTTTAAGTAAAGAGAGGTGTATAACAAGGCTGTGTAACTTTTGCCAAAAATTATTCAATCTGCATACAGAACAAATATTCAGAGTTAGATGTACCTCCTAGGGTAAAAAAATGAAGTCAAGAACATAACTTGTAATATGCTGATGACACCACTACTTGTGGAATCTGAAGAAGCCATCCAAGATGTCGGGCCAATTAAATTTCCATTTGAAATCTGGGTTAAGTATGAGCGCTAAAGAGATTAAGGTTAGAAGAAACTAAGTAAAGATTGAAGTGGACAGTGTCACACAAGAACAAATAGATGTCTACTTGAGGCAAATTTATAATGCATGTTCAATGTGGTACAGAAATTAGAAGGATCAAAGTAGCCAGATGAAATTACATGAAGGTGAAGGATGTGTTAATAAAAATCAAGGTTATAAGAGGGGAAATCTCAACTACATTCTGTCCATTTTCCTGAATGTCTCAAACCTGGATAATAAGTAAAGATTGTGGTGAAAGAAAATCTGCAGTCTTTGAAATGAGCATGCTAAGATAATTGTTTTTAAATAGACACATTTGAAATTGCAAAAGCAAAAAGAACTCCACAGTGACATGTAAAGGAGATAATATCAATATTTCAACCATTTTGATCAGCTGAAAAACTACAGGACTCTTCTAATGGACGAAATGGATGGCAGCAGAAAAAGGGTTGATATAGATGTAGTTAGATAACCTAGCCAAATGGTTGCAGATCAGCTGCCATGAATAAGAATGGCATAAGACAATCAAATGTAGCACCATGATAGCAGATCTCCTGATAAGAGTAGGTCAATTGTATGTTAGCTTAAAGTTTACGTTAACTCATTCATCACATTTTAATTTTGTATTGTCTTTTGGCTAAAAAGGTGTCCCCTATAAAAGATGAAGATTCCGTGTGGGAAAGTGAAGAATTAATTTCTCAAGAACAGTCAGCACCTGAACTCATTAAGGTTAATACTTTATTTCTCATTACAATATCACTGTCCATTTACTGAAAAGCTCCTCCAGGAGTATTTTGAGTTTTACACATTACGGGCCTCCGAGACCTATGTAGCCCGTAAGAAAATTAGAGGGAACGCTGGTCAGGAGTGTGATGGAATAATCACACTCGTTTGAATGAGGGTAACTCGAACAACACTTAGCTGACAACATCTAGAACAAAGCTGCCCTGTTTATTGGTACCATACCACAAATGTTCAATCTCTCTACCATTGACATACAATAGCAGGAGTGAGCACCATCTAGAAGTTGCGCTGCAGAAATTCACCAAAGTCCCTAAGACAGCACCTGCCAAACCATTGATCGCTACCATCTAGAAGCACAAGGGCAGCAGACACATGAAAATTCAATAACTTTACCCCTCCCTGGTGCATTATTGTTCTCTGTAGTTCAGTTTCCAGCTCATAAACTGAGTAAAAGCTGCTTAAACTTCAAATAAAACACTGGATCATAATGGTATTAGGAGCTCCAAAATGCTGCAGTTTTGATACATGACCTGAATTTATACATTAGTAAAATGTAAGAGCACAAAAGACCTTAACCATTTAGAGACTTGCCAGCTTGCTCCTTTCTCTGTAGTACAGCAAGAACCCATTTCACTGGGCTACAAGGAATCTACCTCTGTCTCTGCCAGTCCCAACACCTTCACCTTGTCCAATCCTCTTGGTGATGCTGACCAACTATCCCCACCGCTCTCCTGTGAACTTTACCACCAAGTGGATATGGGCAGCAGATGCAAACCACATTCAATTTTTATCCAAGTGATGTCATCCTGACTTGGAGCCACATATCATCACTCTTTCACTGAGTGAGACAAAATTTTGAAACTGCTTCCCTAATAGCACTGTGGAGTATCTGTCTTTTGGATTGCAATTCAAGAATACAGCTCCCAGCATCTTCTCAACAGCATTTGGGGTGGACAGTAAACACTGGCCCAGCAGCGACACCAAAATCCTGGGAATGCATGTGGTCATCTTCAGTCGTTTGCATTCATGGCACAGAAGGAGACCATTTGCCCATCAAGTCCATGTCAGCTCTCTGCCCAGCAACGCAGTCAGTCCCATTCTATCCCTATCGCCCTGCACATTACTGTCCTTCAAGCACCAATCCAATTTCCTTTTAAAATTGTTTAACTGTTTCCACTGCCAGTACCCACGTGGGTAGTGCATACCAGATCATTCATTCACTGCATAAAAATACTTCTTCCCATCATTCCTCACCTTCATCCTCTTGTATCTCCTGCCCAAACCTTGAATCTTGTCTCCTCTTGTCCTTTTTCTATCAGTTGATGAGACACTTTCCTGGTCTACCAGATCTAAAACAGTCATATTCTTGTAAGTACCAAGAAATGTCCCCTTAACCCTTTTTGCCTCCCTTCTCTCTCCTCTTTCCCCCTCTGTTGCTACGCGCTCTTCAGAACTTTGCCATTATGTATGTATTGCCTCTTGTTAGAATTTGCATTGAGAAACTTCAGCTAAACAGAAAAGTAAAAGTAAACAAGTTGATAGTTGATCTTGGGAAATTAATAGGTGAACACATGCTGTGCCAGTCACCCAAGTAAACTTGCCACGGTAGCATTCTGCTCGCTTTACTAGCCGAAATGTTAAGGAACTCTTATCTGCCAGGCTTTCTCCACGTTCTGTGGTCCACCTGGAGAAGGAGATGGCTGACAGGGACTACCATTTTCTCAAAGCACTCTGTTAATATACTTTTGTTTCTAGTGATTGATAGGAAAACTATCTCAAATACACCCTCACATCCACAACAGAGTGGCACAAAGTTGGTTTTTGTTGCCCATGCCAGAATTTGCTTACTAGCGTTAGGAACAATATTTACCGTTAAGCTTGTCTTGCTCTTGTGGTGCAGTGGTAGTGTCCCTACCTCTGAACTAAGACCCATTGTTCACTCCCACATGCTTCAGAAATATGTAACAACATCTGAACAGATTTGTTATTTAAAATGTAACTAAGAGTCTAGTGAATATACTGGGATTCACCCAAAGGAAGGCAGTAACATCTGTGTCAGCCTGAGCAAGAAGCCTTTGTGATATAATTACAGAATTATTACAGCACAGGAAGAGACCATTCAACCCATTGTCTGCACCAGCTCTTCAAACATGCATCACTACCTTCTGCCAATCTCCTGCTTTTTCTCCATATCTTTGCACACTTCTAGTCAACAAATCATCCTCTTGAATGCCTCGATTGAACCTGTCTTCACATTTCCAGGCAGTGTATATACCCAAACTACTCACTATGTGAGAAAAAAAATTATTTTGTATCACCCTTTCTTTTACAAGTCACTTTAAATCTATGCCTTCTCATCTTGTTACTTTTTATGAGCGGAACAACTTCTCCCCTTTCTACTCTATCCAGACTCATGATTTTGAAACCTCTATCACTTCTATCGAGTCTCTTCTCAGCCACCTTCTCTCCAAGGAGAACAGTCCCAACTTCTTCAGTCTATCCTGGTAACTGAAGTTTCTCATTCCTGGGGCCGTTCTTGTAAATTGCCTCTGCAATCCGCCCAGTGCATTCACATCTTTCTTATAGTGTGGCACCCATGACTGTACACAATACTCCCTAGCTGCGGTCTCACACTGTTTGCTCAATTAATTACTGCAAGCTCTTCACGAGTTTGGGTGTCAACAATAATGTTGACAGGATAAAGGGAATGGTGAAAACTTGAATACTTTAGTGTTTGTAATGGAAACGTTCCTGCCTTAGTTTTAAGGCAGCCAACAATGGTTAGGCTTGATGAGCTTTGAACCCATATCTCCAGAGCATTGGTCTAGGGTTCTGGATTGCTATTCCAATGACATTATCACTACACCACTGCCTCCATTTGGAGAGGTGCAGACTTGGAAAAACATTTGGCACAAACTTAAACTCACTGGAGATTCTGTGTGCATCTAAACGATACTGTTCATTAAGCCATCTGAGCAGCTCCCTGTTAAACTGTTCATTAGGTCAGTGTGATATTGATATCCACTGAGAATCTCTTAGGAGTCTTTTAAATGACCAATAAAATGCAATGGATTCTGCTATTAGCAAAGCCAATTGCTGTAGCTCAAAAATTGATCATACCTGTTATAAATAGCATGAAGTGTTATGTACTAGGAAATAAAGCATTTCAATATCCAGAGTACAAAGACATTGTAAAATGGAATTTTACATTTCTCACACAAGCTTTTGTTCAGACTTTGACTGTAATAGGTTTTGTTCGTATTTCTTATTTTGTTTTCCCAGAACCCGCAAAATTCTGATGCATTTTCTGAACACACATCTTTGCCTAAAGAGTTTCCTGCAGACTGGAGTGTCAAGACATGGGTACTTTTCAAGTCTCCTCACCCTTTTACTTGGACAGGTCATCTCAAAGCATCAGAGGAAGCCAAAGGGTTAATACAACACTGTCGTTCCTCAGTGATTGATTTCCCACTGCATATAGAGGTATCAAGTGAATTATTTCTAATAAAGTTGTTGCAAACGGTGAAACTATGATCAAAGAAAATTTGAATTATTAAATTCACTTCATTCTGAATTTAAATTGTGATAAGACTTGGCCCAAATTCAGGTTCAAGCTCATAGTGTTGATATTTCTTTCTACCGTACTTTGGATTTGCAAAATAACTGATTTATTGGCACCAGACAAAATTGACTTTGATAAATGTCACTTAAAGAGAAGAGACCAACTTCAAGTATTAGCCGCATCCTGTAGGCTGCTTGAAATTTTGAAATATGTAAAACCTGATGGGTCGGATATTATCATCTTGTAGGATCTGGCAAGAGTGCCCAAGACTTGATGGAAATTTGTCAATTCAGGGGTAATTGGGAAAGAACTGAAGGAGGGGTGTATGACTCTATACAAAGTAAGAGACCATATTTTTCTTTTTTGCTGTTATAAACTGAAATAGAATTTGGGTTGTTGTGTCACCAAAATATCAGGAAAGATTTTGCAACTTGCAAAATCAAATGCTGCATAATTTTGACTGTACCAGACAATGTTGCTCTTTGAAGCATTGAGGGAAAGAATTTGATACTTAGTGGTACTGAGTCTTGAAGTAAGGAAATTCTGCATGATGATGGATCTCTGGTTAAGCTGAAGAGTTAAGTGCCAAAAGCATTAAAATCTTGTAAACTGAAAGCATCCCTTCCTTTCTCTTGCTCGCTCTCTCACTCACACCAGTTCTCCTCTATCCATTCTGGTTGAAACATCCTTGGAAAAACTCTAACTTAAACAAACATAATATCCCTTTCGTGAAGCCATGCTGAACTTGCCTGATTTATGTTATGACTTTCCAAAGGTGCTGCCACCATCCTCACTTCGATCAATGGATGTTAGGCTAATCAGCCTGTAGTTATTCACTTTTTGACTCGCTCCTTTTTTGAATAGGAATGTCACATTGGCAGGTTCCAATCCTTTGGTAATTCTCCAGAATCAAAGGATTTTTGGAAAATTGCAACCAATGCATTCACTAACTCTAGCTACTTTGTTTAGGATCCTATAATGCAAGCCATCAGGGCAAGAGGAATTAGACAGATTGTACAGACAGTTTAAGTACACTCGTCAAAGTTGCTTGGTATGGATTGCAAATTTGCAGCTTCTAAAGGAGTTGTAGAAAGTGGCAAGGAACTAACTACTCTCTCAACCATATGTTACACAGCCATAAAGATCGAACTGTCGCAATTGACCTTTTGTCTGATAAAGGTCAGATCAGTTCTGATGAGCAAAATGAAGGCACCAATCCCAAAAGACAGTTACCAAAACAGTAAAGTCAAATATTTACCAGAAAGGGCTGAGCAATGGAGAAACATGAATGTTATGAGTAGAGTGGGGAAGGCAACTAGGAAATATAACAACCCGATTGGATATGCATGATGAAGAGCAAGTGGTTTAGCCCATAGATTGCGGGAGAATGAAATGTGTTTTTGAAAATAAAAGGGAAAAGAATAATGTAAACTTGGACAGTAGCTCTAGGAATGAAAATGTCCCAACAAAGAGATCACCCATTAAGAGACACTTTTTCTGTACATATTCATGTATGTGATAGGGCCAGCTGTCCCCTATCTGGCATCTAGAATGAGATCACAAACTGTTCAAAGGAATCATATTAATAGCTGAGGAAGATCAAAGAGTAATATTCCAGAAAGAGGTAAAGGCAAGACAGTGAATGGAGCTTAACAAGATCTAGGAATATCGTACACACCAGGAATGCCACCAGTAGCAGAAGTCCACATCATTGCATAGTATTAGTGCTACGACAAATATAGAAGACCAGCAAATAAAAGTTGCTAAATAGCAAGTGTTACAAAGCTGAAGCAAATTTGGGGTGTGCACCAGATAGGGGACAGGCAGCCCTATTGCATACGTGGATATATGTGGAAAACATGTCCCTTGGTGGGCCTTAAAAGGCTGAAGCAAGGCTAATGGTACAAGGTTCTGAAGAAAAACTGAAGGACCAAGATGTAACAGACGACTTACCTCCCATAGAAGCCAACCTTCCATCTATGGACTCTACTTACATGGCTCGCTACCGCGGAAAGGCTGCCAATGTCATCAAAGACCCATCGCACCCCAGTAATGATCTCCCACAACCTCTTCTGTCAGGCAGAAGTTATAGGAGCCTGCGTACACACTAGCAGGTTCAGGAACAGCTTCTTTCTGGCTGTTATTAGACTGATGAATGAAGTGTCTAGCCTCAAATAATGCTGATCTTGCTAATGTTGATCTCGCCTAAAGCAAGCCCTAAGCAATGTAACCTGTGTGCCTCTGTCTAAAACTTTTTGATCTATACATCCTTGCTTACTAAGATCTGCCTGTACTGCTCGTAAACAAAGCTTTTCACTGTACTTTGGTACATGTGACAATCAATCAAGTAAATCCATTTTGAAGACGGAGATCAGCTCAAAAACAACATGCTTCTTTGCCTTCACCCTGGATGCAGTGTGAATGATAACTGTTGTTCTTTAGCTTGGGAAGCTAAAAAGATCAAATCAGTAAAAAGTACCGTGGCAGGAGAAAATCTTGCTTTTGCTGTGACAGTAATATGGTATTTTTCATAGCAGAAATAATAGAAGACATTTTAAAAAGGAATTCAACAGTTTCCAACAATGGGTGCTACATCAATACAGTATGGGTCCACAGATCCCTGAAAATGGCAACACAAGTGAATAAGGTGGTCAAGAATGCATGCAGCAGGCTTGCTTTCATTGGCCAGGACATCCAATGTAAAATTTGGCAAGTTATATTACATCTCTGCAAAACTTTTAGTTAGGCCACATTTGGCATATTGCATGCAGTTCTGGTTGCCACACTACCAGAAGGATATGGATGCTTTGGAGAGGGTTCAGAGAATGTTTACCAGGATGTAGCCTGGTCTGGAACGTTTTAATTATGAAGAGAGGTTGGATAAACTCAGATTATTTTCACTAGAAAGATGGAGGTTGAGAGGTCACCTGATAAAGGTCTACAAAATTGAGAGGCATAAATGGGGTGGATAGCCAGACGCTTTTTCCCAGGATGGACAGCGGACATGGGTTCAAGGTGAGAGGGGGAAAGCTTAGGGGAGAAGTGTGGGGAAAATTTTTCTGCGAGTGGTGGGTGCCTGGAGCACACTGCCCGTGGTGTTGGTGGTAGCAGGCATATTATCAATATTTAAGGCGTATCTTGATGCACACGTGAATGTCTGGTGAAAAGAGGGATAGATACTGTGCATGGACAATAAGTAGCAGTTCTAAATAAGGAATGGGTATTGGTGCAGGTTGCTGGGCCTGCATTATATTGTATTACAAAATCAGTCACAAAGGGTGAACAACGATTTGACAAGTGTGAGAAAAGATATCACCGTTTTAAAAGATGCTAGAAATCAGTGAAACATCAAAATTGAAACAGATGGATAGCAGGAGTCAGCCATCTGATTGTTTTATGAAGAAACGATCATTCTCTAAAACTATTAACTGTATTAGAAAAAGGACACTGAAACACATGAACATTAAAAATAACAATGTTGTCATTCTTAACAGTAGGTTGTCAATTTGTATTTTTTACCTTATTCAATTTTCATGATAATAGATTTTCCCTTCAAAATAAATTTTATCTCTCATTTGGCCAGAGAGTCTGAGATCAGATGGAACTAGGGCTCGGGGATAGTTGTATATTAATAAAGGGATAATTTGCTGAGAATTTGGTGAATATCTGTGTGGAAACTAGTAATCAGTGTGGTGGAGTTTTGTATTGTGAGTTGAAATGAAATCAAGTATATGCCTAGACTCTGATCAGAATTTGATCCTAGATACTGAATTGGGTGTACAGCACCTTCAAAAGAAAGACTGAAAAGATTGTGAAAGGGAGGTGAACAAAGCAGTTTTTTTTTGGGGGGAGAGGGGGCAACGGTGGCAGGGAATCACTACCAGCTTGTTTCTTGCTTTTCCCTGTTGTAGCTTCCTATCTCTTTCGATTAAAGCTGAAACTGTCCGTTTTCTGACCTGTTCTGCCCATTGTTTTACGGTGGCTTGAAGCAGCTTAGGCACAAAACAAATTCATAGATTCTGTATCAATTATCCTTCGTTTTGTATAAGGATGTCATGCTGTCTGCCTAAATCCCCAGGTCGAAATTCAAAGAGGCTGACTTCCAGCAGTGTATTGCTTCTTTATAATTTTTCTTCTTTTACTGCCTCATTTAAGCTGTTTTTTTTTTTTTTGTTTGTTTCAATTTAACCTATTTTTCTAATCAACCTGTTCAGAGATGTCATTACACACTTCTGGAGCAGTTGGGACTTGATCTGGGTCTCTCGGTTCAGGAAAGTCCCTCCTTTTAAAGAACAATTAACAAGCACTACTCAACAGGGGCAGGTGAATCCAGCACTTTAGATATTTTAAATGAATTTGTTCAGAGATATTGCTACACATCTGAGGAGCAGATGTAATTTGAACCTGGATTTCCTGGGACACTACCACTGTGCCGCAAGAATTCCGCTCTACAAATTATATGGGGAAATACAGAAACACACTGGCCCAGTTAATCATAGTGGTGTAAATAGTACCTAAACTGACTGAATCTTCCCCACCAACCCCCTGCCCAAATCATAAACATATTTTTGAAGTCAGGTTATCTTTAATTGATTTGATACTGAAGGAGTTAAATTTTTTAGTGAGCATAATTTAACATGCTCATTTTTATTTATGCCTAGGACCCAAGGTCATGCACAGATTTACGCTGTGCATTCCAACAGAGTCTTGTATACTGGCTTCACCCCTCACTGCCATGGCTATCACTTTTTCCCCGAATAGGAGCAGAACGGAAAATGGCAGGCAAGAACAGTCCATGGTCACAAGATGAGGAACTCCAACAAGTGCTGATGAGTGAATGGTATGGAGTTTTCTTTAATGAACTTCAATTGTATAATGCTTAACAATCAAATGCTGGCAAATCTATTGGAATGTATTTACGTACAGGTACAAATTGTGCTGAGGCACGTTAACATATTTCATATCTGATAGAGGATTCTTGCACACCAAAAGTCTAGACTGGTTTTTGCTCGATGTGCCGTCATATTGATTGAAAGCCTTTCTCAGTTGTCATATTCTGAGCCTGTCTCACTTTGGGACTACCTGCAGTATTGAGGACATGCAGATGCAATATTTTTGTCAGCTTGCCTAACGTTAACATAAAAAATATTCCTTGACTGAGAATCTGAGGAAGTTCTGTCTTGGTCAAGATTCCACTTTCAACACTATCCCAGAAACCAGTTACCTGGACCTTTTTTGTTAATTTGTGGTTTAAAAATTTTGGACAATCTAGCAGATGTACTTTACTGCACCACAGCACTATAAATGTAAAGTAAATTAAATCTTCTGTATCTGCAAAATCACAAATCACAAATTTGCCTATCGCACCAAGAAATAAGTAACAACAAAAGTCAACATCCGCAGGCAAAAATTGCATATCTGATGATGATCTAATGAGCTCTGCATTCACGAATTTCATCATTCTTCGTGGGTCTCGAACAGATCCCCCTCGGATATAGAGGAAAGGCTATTCGTTAAAAAGTACTTTAACATTCTAAATGGCTGTGACGTTATCTAAGTAGGGGAGATTTCTTTCCTCACCGCTGATCCAACCACAGCTACGTGTGTGTTTGAAAATTGAATGGTATGAGCTCTTGTGGCACAGTGACAGTATCTGCCTCTGAGTCAGTCTCTTGTTTCAAGTCCCACCTGCACTGGAAATGCCAAGCAGATTTATTCAGAATAGTTATAAATTGAATGGTATACACTGTCTAAGCTGGCGCTTGAATGGTCTCTTGAGAAACAGTATAGGAATCCAACTCCTAGAGAAATCAAAATTTAGTCTTGGCAGTGCCAAGAAGGAACATGAAGAAAATTGAGTGAGAGGAAAAATGAATTTGATTAGTTTCAGTGAATTTTTTTTTTTGTTAAATTTCTCCAGGTCGCTCAGCTTTAGTTCATTATACAATTTACTACGAGCCAAACTTTGCCCCTATTTCTACTTCTGCACATATCAATTCACAGTGCTGTTCCGGGCACCGGGAATAGCAGGAAGTGGTGTGCTTACAGCTGTTATTTCACCTACAACAAGGGGTCTTAGAGAAGCTATGAAAAATGAAGGTAAGACCCAATGTATATGTAAAACTGTTGTTTTGGGAAAATTCATGTTAAAACTTGATATGCCCATGGTTGGCCCTCATGTTATAGAGTGACAGAGGTCTATAGCACAGGAAAAGGCCCTTCAGCCTAGCAAGTCAGTGCTGGCCAAAAACAACCATTCTAATCCCACTTTCCAGCAGTTGACCCATGCTTTGGCATGCAAGTGCACATCTAATTACTACTTCGATGATAAGAAGGTTTCTGCTTCTACCACATTTCCCACCACCCTCTGAATGTAAAAGAATTCCTCAACTCCTCTTTAAATCACATCCCCTTATCTTAAATTCTTGAACCCGGGGAATTGATTTATGATTCCCCTCCCTGCAACAAGGGGAAAAGTTTCCTCCTGTTCACCCTATCTATTAGCCCTCATAATTTTATACATTTCAATCGTGTTCACCTCCCCACCACCCCCAACCGGCCCCAGTATCCTCTGGTCCAAGGGAAAAAAAACCCAATCTATCCAAACTCTCTTCATATCAACCTCACCAACCCTAGCGACATCTCATCCCTCATGCATACAGTGTACTAACTGTAGCCTAATCAATGTTGATTATGGATCTGAGCGGCTTTCGAAGATGAATTTTTGAATGTTTCCAGAGTGTTAACATCCAAAGTTATTTTGACACTGCTCATATAATGTTCCATTATTTGATGTTTCTCCCCCGTTCACTCAAATGAGTTTATGATCCAGTTGAAACTTGTTGAAAGTGATCAGTCAATGAAAACAGCAACAAAGGCACCTGTTCTAGCTCCTCTGTTGTTAATTATCACAATACTGTACTTGGTGGTGATGATGCTGTCTTTGCATAGGAATCATATTTTCCTTGCCCTTGCTGGAAGATAGTAAAAATGGGAAAAAAGAAAAAAGTGAAATTGCAGATGTGGGAAAAGACACTCTAGGCCTTGAAACACAGGAGGAAAACTCCGATGTTCTCCAGTAAGTCTACCTTAATGCTTTATTGATGTGAAAAATGTTATTAGCGTATGCCTTATATAACAGTTGAGTTTACATGTTTTGACAGGCACATTTCAAAGAAAAGTTACATTTTAAAATAACAGTTAAAGTCCAAACTAGTCTCTTTATGGAGTAGGCGTACTAGCATAGACCAAGCAAAACATTTGTGATAATTCTGGTGTCTTTATTGCAGCAATTGTTTTTATTACAGGATTTCCAGTTATTCTGTCACCAAAGCCTCGAACTGAATCAAAAAATCTCCTCACTGGTAAAGTTACATTAAACAACCCATGTGTAAAACCAAGCCCCAGAAATATCATTACAATTTTATTTCAAAAGCCTGGCCTTGAGTTTGCAGTCATAGAATATGAAAGTCTAATTGTTTTCTTTCCAACTTTGTTTCCCTTCCTTCTCCTCCTCCTCCACCACCCCATTATCTATGTCCAACCAGAGTGCCTTGTTTATTGATGGGATCCTCTTACCATCCTTTGGTTTTCTTTTCCTTCATCTACACAGTTGTTGCTGCCACTAAATATTGGCATCTGAGCAATCCAGTGCTCTCATCTCCAATTGGGTTTAAAACAAACTGTAGTTAGCAGTAACCACTTCCCTGAACATTTTTTCATACAAATTTGTCATGCATCTAAAATTCCAAAAAAAGCTACTTGATTCCAACCGCTTGCTTCCACCCTGAACCAGTGACCCCAAAAGTTAAATGTGCTCCGTGTGCCTCCATGCACATCTTCAAATTTATCTTTTATCATCTTTCTTTCTTCACCTTTTCAATCAGATTTTCTTCATAAAATCATTGTATCTGCACTCACTTTAAATATTAAATATGTTTTGTTGTGTATTTCATAAATAGTAAATGGACATTTCCCAGTAGATTCAAGTATACCAAAGAACAGTGATGTTTTTTTTCTGTTGAATCCAATTACCTTTAGCTGCAAATCACTTCTGCATTATTGAGACTGGCTTCCAGTTGTCATGGTGGGGTTAAAACCCATGCCTCCAGAGCATTTGCCTGGGTCTCTGGATTGGTGGTCCAATTATATTTTCACTATGCCACCATTTCCACTCTGTCCCAGCGGTCAAATAGTTTGTGAGAAATTATCATTCACGTGTATACATGAGGTACAGGCACATTGATGAGCTGCTTGAAAGATTGGCACTGTCCCCAGAGGCACAGAGTCTGCAACACGCTACATCATACTCTGGAAAGAGTTAGCACCTTGTGTGAGGAAACTTCCACTTTTTCTTGCAGGTAGAAAACTGAAACATTTCTACATATTTGCTTTGCATCTCATCCTGCCTGTTTCCAAACAAATACCCCTAATTTCCCATATTCGCTCCCATCCAAGACATGACGCTGAAAACTGAACCCAGGCACTGTCCATCAAATAAATCTACCAACCGACTGACTCCATATTCTAACTTTTTATTGTAATATCAGGATTCTGAGTGTAATGAATTTTTGATTCATTTGCTAGAAGCCATCTGGAATAAAAGAGGGAAGGTCCTAAACCAACAAATGCACTCTTAAACTTACCAACAAAAACATTCTGCGCAGACTAAAATGGCATACAATCATAGATTGTATGGCGATAGTTTTACTACTTAAAGAAGAACCGAGAAGCTGAGGAAGCAAACATTCAGTGAAAAATGAGAAATAGTTAAGGTTTTTAGTTGGGATTCTCCATCGAAACAGTTACTCTAGATACAATAGTGTGTAACTGTAAACCAAACAATACAATTGTAAACAAATATGTTTCATTAATACACCAATATGTTGTAATAAACCAATGCTCAATTGAAAACTGAAGAAATGAATACTGGACATGATTAATTCTATGGTGTAAGGAAGCCTATTTATAAATAAAAGCAAAATACTGCAGATGCTGGAAATCTGAAATCAAAACAGATTGAGGAAACTTGGAAGATCTGACAGCATGTGTGCAGAGAGAAAGAGTTAACATTAGAGTCCAGTGACCCTTCTTCAGAACTATGGCCTTCTTCCAAAGAAAAGTCATTGGACTCTACGTCAAAAGATTTATTCAAATTTATAAGTAGGTTAAAGTGGTTATGACACCATAAAATGATGATTATTCAGTTTTTAGGAAATATTTTGACATTAATACATCTCTACAGCCATGAAATATTAACTGGCACATTAATAATATTTTTCTGTGTTAATGTAGAGAACCAGTTGGTAGTAGTGATGATGACGATGATGGAGGGATGTCCTGGCTTAAAGAGATGGGAGTGCAGGACAAAATTAAGAAGCCTGATTCTGTGTCCATTAAACTGTATCCTTTTTAAACCCTGACTTTGCGGTGGATGAAGAGGTGAAACACGCTTCTGAGAAAAGGTCACTGGGACCCAAAATAACTCTGCTTTTTCTTCACAGATGCTGCCAGACCTACTGGGTTTTTCCAGCAATTTTTGTTTTTGTTTCAGACTTCCAGCATCTGTACTGCTTAGATATTTTTTTCTAATACAGATTTTGTTATTTTAGTGCGGAGAATTTGTCACAATTAAAGTTTTAAGTTTCACTGGTTTCAAATGTGTTCTGTTTGCAAAAATATTTGTGTAACCAAAGCAAACTGATAGTAACAAGTCTTGAACTAGAAAATAAGCTCCTTTTTTGTGCATCTATGGAATGTGGGATGTTATTCAATGTTATCTGTTATTGCCCTTGAGAAGGTTATGGTGAGCTGCTTTCTTTCATCACTGCAGTCCATCTGTTGAAGATACTTCTAAATTAGTGTTTTGAGTGAGAGTTCCAGGATTTTGACTGACAGACAATGATGGAATAGTTCATATATTTTCATAGTAAACTGGTTAGTAAGGCTATATCACATGGAATACAGGAAGAACTAGCTATTTGGACCGAGTAACCACCTTCTACACCGTAGGGATTCTATGGTCAGTGTCAAAGGAGGATGGTTAGATAGTTTTCTTTTTGGAGAAGGTTGCTTGAAATGTGTGTATTATACTTACTAGGTGTTATTTTGCATGTGCAGGAATTTACTTTATTGAAATTTGTTGTGACAAGACCCCACTGAAATGAAATGCAGAATTTTGTTCAATTATTCCATTATAGCGAAGTTTGTTTTCCTTAACGCTTGATGTAGTCGTAAGGAGCACAATGTACTACGAATGGATCACAAGCCTGAATCAGCTGTGCTAGTGAAAGGCCTTCATACATTCACTTTACTAAACTTCCTGATAAACAACAAGAGTATTGTAGCTGGATCTGGGCCCCAGGCAGGGCTTCCACCTACTCTTTTGGCACCTGTTGCATTCAGAGGAGCCACCATGCAAACATTGAAGGTAAGATTCAAGCATGTAAAAATGTGTTCTTTAATAAAGGGAGCTGTGTCTATCATGGTATATTGTGCTTTCTTTTAATTATTGATTTTGGCTATTTTATCTGCATTTTGCCTCACTTCATGTTTTTTTGCGCAGCCCAATTTACACAAAAAATACCTTTTTTCTTGGGTATCTTCCATACTATCCTCCTGTTTATGTCCAAATCATTTAGCAAAAATAGGTGCTATGTCACTACCTCTATCCTGCCATTGTGAGAATAAAACCAATTTTTTTTTTTTTTGTTGACTGAACTAGGCAATCCCTCTATCCATGCAGCTTACCCTTAAGCATGTGCGTTTTCATTTTTATTTGGTATCTTTATAAAAAGCTGCCTGAAGATTCATATATAGTATTTGTCAAAAATCCAATTAGTTTTTTTTTTCTTTATTCATTCATGGGATGAGGGTGTCACTGGCTAGGCCAGCATTTATTGCCCAAGTTATGAGTCAACCACATTGCTGTGGGTCTGGAGTCATATGTAAGCCAGACCAGGTAAAGATGGCAGTTTCCTTCCCTAAAGGACATTAGTGAGCCAGATGGGTTTTTCCGACAATCATTAGACGCTTAATTCCAGATATTTATTGAATTCAAATTTCACCATCAGCCGTGGTGAGATTCAAACCCAGGTCCCCAGAACATCACCTGGGTCTCTGGATTAACAGTCCAGCGATAATACCACTAGGCCATTGCCTCCCCTACCTAGTCTAGCACAATTTACTGTTAGAAGCCTGTGCTAAACATTCCTGATTATTCGAATTAAGCGTGGGCTACACAGCATGTATTACTTTGGAACTTGCATGATTTCTGTTTTCTTTTAAATCTTTGATGCTATTATTACTTTGTCAATCATTGTCAGGAAACTAAGATAAAATGGTGTTCTGAAGAACGGTGACTGGATCTGAAACGTAAACTCAACTTTCTATCCACAGATGCTTTCAGACCTGTTGCTTTCTCTAACAATTTCTGCTTTCGTTTCAGATTTTCAGAGGTTCTTTGTTTTATTTAAGATAAAATCGTACCTGTCAGGATTCCTGAGTGTCAGGGACGAGTGGTGCCTGAAATCTAGCAGATGAGCTGTTGGCTGAAAGGTGGTGTTCTGTGCATCAGTTAAAATGTGCTTTAGATGAGTGTGTGAAGTGATTTTTGTTTTCTCTCCATTCACAGCATCAACAGAGAGCTTAAAATTTCCTGGTTTTAATTGGAAATCCAGCCTGTGTTGTCCTTTCCATACCTGTTCTTAAAATAAATTATAAATTACGTTCCTATGATTGACACAGGATTTGTAACCCATCCAATCATGTGAAAGAAGTATTGAACAGAAACAGGAGATCTGCCTGCTTTAGCTGCTACAGCAATGAGTTCGAGAGTTGGTTTGCTCTAGACTTCAGCTAGCATAGCTGGATCTTAAAGTATCCAATTGAGGCCTTTGGTTGACATTTCTCTTGGAAAAGGGAATTTTTCACTCAACTGCTGGCAAAACATTATTTGACCTTTATGAGAATTTTTGTCCTGATACAGTTTGTATAAACGATTACATCTCCTATTTAATTAGAAGTAATCTGGAAGCACAGGATGGAATGAGATAATGGCTAAATTGGATTGCCTCCCAAAAAGGACAGGATGTTGTGTTTTACAAGTAGTTCGCAATGACATGCAGTACCCACTAAACAATTTGTGCATAGTTAATGACACTCTACACCATGGAAAACCTGCAATCCTACCAACGTACTATACTTCTAGCTGCTTGTCTCTGCTTGGAGAGCTTTACTGACTGCCATTCCTAACCACTCCTTTGCCAACGGTGGTTGGCAATCTAAAAAATGTTGAAAATAACTTCAGTCTGGAGGCACTAGATTCATAAGTTTATTAAAATGGTCATCATCTCAACCAGTGGCAGTGCTGTACTGCCCTGCGCTGAGGCTGAAACGGTAAGTCTATTTAACGGGGAACATCCTTAACGAAGCCAATGCCTCCTATAGTGATTTTCACTGATGTTTGAGAAGAATTGCTCCCATGACACCCATATGTATCATGCTGGGAGCATACCTGCTAACTTTACTTTCTTTTCCAGGAATGTACTGCTTTGCAATCCAATTGTTTAGAAGTGATGCTTTATTCCGAGGGAAATTACTAAAGTGCACTCAAGATCTGCTAGCAAATTGGTTTGTGCAGAAACCTTGAAGCTAGTAAAAAAAAAAAAAAAAAAATCCTGCTTCACCACTTCCTTTTGACTTTTGCAACTTGAAACACAGACTTGCAGCAGCAACTAACCTGAAGTAATTAATCCCTTTTATGTAGTGCTGGTTGGGGAGTGTCAGTGGTGCAGTGCAAGTTTGTCCTTTCAGTTATGAAGGGTTTCAGATGTCTGAATAAAAATTTTGTAAGAGTGACAGTGTCAGGCTGTTGCCTGTAAGACAAAAAGACCCACGTGTTCATCAGGAACACTTTTCAGGATCAACAGGGCTTTGTATGCCTTGGTCAATATTAGCTTGTCCATCCAATTTTATTCCTCTTATTAGATTTTGTAGTGATTAAATACAAATGACTGGCTTGCTGGACCAGTTCAGTGGGTGGTTAAGAGCTGACCACATTGCTATGGGTCTGGAGTCACACGTCGGCCAGATGAGGTAAAGACAACAGATTTACCTTCCCTGATTGGCATTAGTGAAGCAGATTGTTACAACAGTTGACAGTGGTTTTTTTAATTGAATTAAAATTTCACCATCTGCTGTATTAGGGTTTGAACCCATGTATCCAAAGCATTACCTGGGACTCTGCATTACTAATCCACTGACAATGCCATTACACCACTACCACCTGCCAGAAGAGAGAGAAATAATATGTTGGTATGTAATGTAATTTTCCAATTAATGTTTTAGGCCCGAAGCATTAATGTAAGGTCACAGAATCACTCTGGAATGATGGACTCCCACAGCCTTGAAATCACTGGTCCTATCATGCCTCACTCACTGCATTCTTTGACACTGATGCTGAAGTCGGCACAGAAAGGAAGATTCACAGCCAGCCTTCTTGCACATGAACCAACTTCTGTTTTAAATGTAGCCCTTAAAATGGAGCAACATGAAAACAAGGTAAGGGACTGTAATTTTTCATCTTTAAAGAGCCTGTAGCTTTCAAAAGATGTTTTCTCCCTTTTGAGATGTTATTATAACACCTAGCACCATCCACTGTGGTGAGAACTGTTGTTGGGAGTAATGTTGGGTTGTTCAGCTAATTATGACATTCTCTATCTGAGTTTGAAAATCAGTTTTGTGGAAGCTCTGCAGAAACTTTGAAAACCAAAATGAAAACGAATATTCCATTCCATTAAAATATTTGTGCCATGTAAAGAGCACTATCTTTCAGATGAGACATTAAACCAACCACCCTCTTGGCAGCATGTAAAAAATGAAGAAGAGCATTGAAGTTCTCCCCACTGTCAGTATTTATAAGATGGGAACAGTATAACTGGCTGCTTTAGGAACAGGAGAGAATTGTTACAGTAGTTGGATTCATTTTGATGGTTGTTTCTCCATGACTGCCATCCTGCAGTGGCTGTAAGACAGCCATTGCAATGATATTTGTTTAAGCAGCTTATTCTAATCAGTAGTAATGATCCTGTGAGTTTAGCGAAATGTATCTTCTACAAGTCTTCGGGAAGACTTGGCTAAATAATTGGTGCAGGGGACAGGGATTCAGGTTCCTGGATCATTGGGATCTTTTCTGGGGCAGAGGTGACCTGTTCAAGAGGGGCGGGTTGCACCCGAACTAGAGAGGAACCAATATCCTGACAGGCAGATTTGCTAGTGCTGCAAGGGAGGGTTTAAACTAGATGGCAGGGGCTAGGGTCCTCAACAGGGAGGCAAGTGCAAGGCTGGAAGAAGATCCAGTAATCAGAAATAGCAAGATGAAGAGACATCAGGCCAGAACACGACAGGCAGCGAGGAATGCCTGTTGGATTAAGTTGCATCTATTTCAATGCAAGAGGGCTGACCGGTAAGGCCAATGAAATCTGGGTGGATAGGTATGTGGGACTGGGATATTATAGCCATTACAGAAACATGGATAAGGGACGGTCAGGACTGGCAGCTTAATGTGCCAGGGTGCAGGTGCTTTAGGTGGGACAGAGATGGTGGAAAGAGGGGAGGGGCTGTTGCATTTTTGATTAAGGGGAGTATCACAGCAGTAGTCAGATGAAATAACTGAGGGATCACCTAGTGAGGCTTTGTGGGTGGAGCTAAGAAACAAGAATGGGATGCTGACGTTATTGGTATTGTACTATAGGCCCTCAGTCAATGGAAATTAGAGGAACAAATATGTAGGAATATTCGGAAGATTTGCAGGAGCAATAGGGTTGTCATAGTGGGGGATTTTAATTTTCCTAACGTAAACTGTGACTGCAATAGTGTTAAGGGCTTGGATAGGGTGGAATCTAAGTGTTCAGGAAAATTTCCTGAAGCAGTAGATAGAGGGCCCTACTTGGAAAGGAGCAAAACTCAACCTACTTTTGGGAAATAGAGCTGGACAGGTGACTGAGGTGACAGTGGAGGAGCACTTTGGGAACCAGTGACCGTAGTTCTATTAATTTTAAAATAGTTGTGGAGATGGACAAAACTGATCCACAGGTTCAAGTTCTAAATTGGGGCAAGGCAAATTTTGATGGAATTAGCCAGGAGCTTACAGGGGTTAATTGGAATAGTTTGTTTGCGGGCAAAGAGACCTCCAGTAAGTGGGAGGCTTTTAAGTGTGATAGCTAGAGCTCAAGGTCTGTGTTCCTGTGAGGGTGAAGGGCAAGGTTGACAGGAGTAGGGAACCCTGGATGACAAGAGATATTGAGGCTTTAAACAGAAAAAAGGAGCCAGCATGGGTCAGGTACAGGCAGCTGGGATCAAGGAAATCCATGGAGGATATATAGGCGATGCAGGAGTTTATTGAAGAAGGAAATCAGGGGGGCAAAAAAGAGGACACGAGATAGACTTGGCTGAGAAGATTAGGGTGAATCCAAAGAGATTCTTTAAGTATATTAAAGGAAAATGAATAACTAGAGAGAATTGGGCCCTTCAAGGAGCAAAATGGATGTGCATGTACGGAACCGCAGGAGATGGTTGAGGTCCTCAGTGAATATTTCTCTGTGTTTACCAGCGAGAAAGACATGAAGACTTGGGAAAGTTAGTGGCGATATCTTAGGGACAGTCCATACCACAGTGGAGGTGGTGTTGGACATATTAGAATGTATGAAGGTGGATAAATCTCCTGGCTCTGGCCAGATATATCCAGGAACCCTGCAAGGGGCTAGAGAAGAAATTGCGGGGGCCCTGGTTGATGTATTTGCATCATCATTGACCACAGGTGAGGTCCCGGAAGACTGGAAGGTAGCAAATGTTATGCCCTTGTTCCAGAAGGGCTGCAACAAGAAACCTAGGAATTACAGACCAGTAAGCCTAACATCTGTGGTAGGTAAGTTACTTGAGAAGATTCTGAGGCATAAGATATACATGCATTTGGAAAGACAGGGTTTGATTAGGAGTAGTCAGCATGCTTTGTGTGTGGGATGTCATGCCTCACAAATTTGTTAGAGTTCTTTGATGAAGTGACCAGGAAGGTGGCTGAGGGCAGGGCGATAGACATAGTCTATATGGATTTCAGTAAGGCCTTTGATAAGGTACCACATGGTAGGCTGCTGTGGAAGGTTAGACCACATATAATCCAGGGAGAGCTGGCAAACTGGATACATAACTGGCTTGATGGTAGGAAGCAGAGAATAATAGTGAAAGGATGTTTGTCAGACTAGAGGCCTGTGACTAGTAGTGTGCCGGCCCCATTGCTCTTTGTCATCCAAATCATTGTTATCTATATCAATGTACAAGGCATGATTAGTAAGTTTGTGGATGACACTAACATAGGCGGTATTGTGGACAGTGAGGATGGTTATCAGAAATTGCAGCAGGATCTTGATCATCTGGGGAAGTGGGCTGAGAAATGGCAAATGGAGTTTAATATAAAAAGCGTGAGCTCTTGCATTTTGGAATGTCAAATCAAGGTAGGAATTTCCTGGTAAATGGTGGGGCCTTAAGGAGTGCAATACAACAGAGGGACCTTGGAGTTCAGGAGCACAGTTCTCTGAAAGTAGAGTCACAAGTAGACAGGGCAGTGAAGAAGGCTTTTGGTACACTGGCCTTCATCAGTCGGGGCATTGAGTGTAGAAGTTGGGAAGTTATGTTGCAGTCGTACAGGACGTTGGTGAGGCCGCACTTGGAGTCTTGTGTCCAGTTTTGGTCACCTTGCTATAGGAAAGATGTTATTAAACTGCAAAGAGTGCAGAAGAAATTTACAAAGATGCTGCCAGAACTCAGGGAATGAGTTAAAGGGAGAGGTTGGACGAGCTAGGACATTTTTCTCTAGAGCATAGGAGACTGAGGGAGGATCTTATAGACGTGTATAAGGTCATGGATAGGGTGAATGCACTCTGTTTTTCCCTGGGTTGGGGAATGGAGGACTAGCGGGCATCAATTTAAGGTAAGAGGGGAAAGAATACATGGGAACTTGAGGGACAGCATTTTTGCAGCTTCATGGGACAACGTGACCATCCTAGCTCAAAGCCAACCACAGACATGCACTGGTATTCCTAGAGGCCTGGTTTTCAACCCGTAATGCATTCATCAAACGTGGAATTAGACCCCACATTCAAACCCATCAATAAAACAAGTTTGAACTTTCCCTCATCTCGGTGCACTCGGACAATGAAGGCCATCAATTTAACAGACACAAGGTGACCATCCTAGCTCAAGCCAACCACAGACACGCACTGGAATTCCTACAGGCCTGGTTTTCAACCCGTAATGCAATCAACAAACGTGGAATTAGACCCCATATACAAACCCACGCAGAGCAGAATCGGAAATGACACAACCCAATTTAACAGACTGGATCATATAAATACCAAGCGGAGTAGAACAACATCGCTTCATTGGAGGCCGTACTGATGATGTTACCTAGCATGGTGACAAAATGTCTGTACAGTGAGCAAGCCAACAACTTCATCCATAACCCAGGCTACAAATCTTCAAGAACTTCCAGGTGATGTTTTAAATAAGAGAGCCCAAAATTTGAATGCTTTTTTGTTGTTTCCATTTAAGCAGATCCCCGCATATGAAGATATGTCTCATTGAGTGTAAGTGAAACATGTGAGGTTTGACTTCATCTCAAACTGGTGCTGTAGAAATGCAAATACTATCCTTTTATTCTAATACAAAAAATAAACAGCAAGGATCATTGATAAAAGTTGTGATAAACATACAAAATGTGGGTGGAGGTAGATGTGATTGTGACTAAGTGGCACTTGCAGAAAAATCCTGAATGTGTTAATAGCTACACTAACAACCAATTTTAGATAATCAATCCAGCTTGTAATGTGGCTCAATTGTGTTGACTAGAAGTAACATTCATTCCTACACAAGGACTCATTCTCTGCCAATACATGGAATATTTACAAACCTTACTTTTTTTTTTAATATGAAGTTCCTGTCCCTTGAACAAGATGTTGCCTTGGAGATTCAGTACTGACTTGCTAACTAATCAGCACTCTTTCAGTCTTGTGCTCCTTCTGATGAGGCCAAGACAAAATGCTTAAGTTATAATAAGTGTGTCTTTTCAGCATTTACAATTGAGGTAAAGGGCTTATGTTCAGTTGATTACTTGGTACTGATTGTTTGCCACCTATCAAAGGTGCAAAATACAATTTTCTGTGTTTAGTATACAGACAATAGTTTGAATTCTTCGCTATTCACGTGCTGTTATAAAGCAGTTTGGGATGTTCTGATCCTTTGATTTTCACAGGACCTATCTTCAGATGAATTACGCAATAGTGGTCTACATCCTGAAACACTGAATCAACTGATGCAGAAGCCAACATTTGGAAAATCCTCTTTGAAGCATCTAGAAATGAACGACTACAGATATAGCTGGAAACTGTAAACTCTGCCAGCAATTTTAATGGTAGCCGTGATTGGTCTGTCACTAGATGCTTTTATTCTGTGTTAAGCAGTATACAATTGCAAGTCTTACGTACAGATGAGTTTTATCTGTGAAAGCCAACTAAAGCAATGAGGGACCAACAAACAGTATTGAGTGACCACATTCTTGGCCTGTCCTTAATGTAGTATTTTACATTTAAATTGGCTACATTATAATGAGTTTATTTTGAAATGCATTTATTAAATGCTTTCATATTTTTAATATTATGTTTGTCTCAAACTGATAGTTGAAATGCCTCCTTTGATTTTAATTGAAAAGGCACCACATGAGATCTGTCCTGTCAGATCTCAGTCCAGTAGACTAACTAACTGTACTCTTTGGAAAAGGTGTGGCATCATTAAGTGGGTTGACAACTACTGTCTTTAAGAGGCAGAGTGGTTGTTTAACAAAATGGAATTTTAGTTTTTGTTTTACATAGAGTAAATCCATATTATCAATATCTGTGAATTTGTGTCCAGAATCTCAATTTCCTTTATTTAATTTTAGGTCATTGACAGTAAACTATAATAGCCTTCAGGTTCACTGGTATTAAATATTCAACTATTGATTAATCTTGTCAAGTTAACTCCAACCTGATTGATTATGGATGTGTGATTGAATTGTAAAAATTTTGTTTCATATCAATGTCTAACTTCACAAAATAGTCTGTTATCTGTTTGCATGAGGTTCTGCAGACAGTTGTTTTATTCATCTTTTTGACAGGATAAAAATATATAATTTTAATCATTCAGCTTTTTTGTTTAAACATCCCTGTTTAGTCAAATAATAGACAAATAAGGAAATGCAATGTCTACGTCAATCACTCCATTGTTCATTTGGATATTCACCTGTTCAAATATGATTTTTTTTTTTTTTAAAACTTATTGGTTGTTGTATAAACACTCTTTTTGAACAAAGGATAAACCTTGTAGCCCTATGTTGGCTTTTGCATGGCCTATTGGAGAATAACTACAAGAACAACCTATTTTTAAACCATGTAAATCTGATCATTGTATGTCATTTTACTCATTTTTGTTTTAACTGTAAAGGGGAGTTGTTTCAGCCTGTGATAAGACTGCAAACATTTTCTCACTTTCCTGTATGCACGTCACTGTGGTCAAGGTTAAATGTTTGATTTAACCTGTAAACAATAATGATGCAGATAAAGACATTTCAGTTTGTGGAAAACAGCAGTCTACTTTTGTGAAGTCGGTGATCAAGTGGATTCACAAGCAGAAGATATCTGCAGCAAACAATTGCAAATCTAAAACATTAGCACAGCAAACTTAAGTTTTAACTGGTACTCTTGATCAACCAGCAAAAAGGTTTTATGCCTGAAATACTGGAAGCTTACAGTATTATCACAATCTCCGCAATGTCAGAATAGTCAGCTGATGGTGCAAGAGAGAAGGCTCTTTATTTAAGTTTTATATAAAGCAAATTTTAATTATTTGTGATTTATGCTATAAATAGTGGTGTGTAGACCACCTACAATATGTTTCTACTTTGTCAACCTTTTGATCAACTGGCACATTCCTGGTCCCACGAGTGCCAGTTAATAAAAGGTTTGCTGTAATTACTTAGACTGTTCAAATAAATGTAAAACTATTGCCAGGCATGTTTTTGTGAAGAAGCTCTTATTGATAAGAACAAGTAGGTTTTAATTGAAAACCAAGTATTTTGGACAAATTAAAGATATTAAATGCACTTTTGGAGATACTGCCTTTATAATTGCTTAAGTATATTGTTTATAAAGAATTATATTCACTACTAAAATTTGTTGGTTTTTTCCTGAAACTCACCTGCCACACAAACTATTGCACTATTCATTTGCAATATGGTTGAATTGATGCATCAAAAGTAATTTTTTTTCTGGAAAAATTGAGCTCCATTTGTCACTTGGATATTTCTGGACAATTATATTGGGCTCCCCTGTGGTGTTTCCTCAAAGTTATTGAGTCAACAACAGCAAACGCATCCATAAATTAAGCTTACATTTTCAAAATTCAATTCATACCCTGCTCCAGCAATGTTAGTAATTTTATGAACTTGGGTCCAATGGAATAAATACAATGCAAGTACTCCAGTAAGATGAAATATCAAAGTGAGCATAGCCTGCTACTTTCTGGATACTAGCTCATCCATGATTTGCCTTGACAAATCCATTCTACTACCATTCAGATACCATAGCATTTGCAGTCACATTCCTTTGTGTACCTTGATTGATTAGCTACCACATATACATGTTGATTCCTTCCTCTCGTGATGTGGACCAAAATCAAGATGTTTGCACCAAGAAAACTGTAAAGTTAATTCACAGCACACTTCCAGACAGTAAGTTTGACACGTGCAACAGAAACTCCACAGAAAATATGGTTTAAATTTGGGACCAGTCTCCCAAAAAACTGGGGCTAGATTAATTTAATTTCAAAAAATGTGATGCAAGGATTTTTTGTTTGTGGTAGGAGTTATTTAACCAGGGCAGATAGACATACTTCACCTATGTTCTAGCTTTTTTGGCCTAATCTTGTCCCTATGTTTCAAAAAATAGGAGAATCCCTGTTAAAAATTGCAGTTCAGACTGCTTGGCAAAGTCTGAATTCTAAACATTGCCATCTATTTTATGTAAAACTGGACTACTGAAAGAACCACAAATTGCTTTATTGAAGATGGGTACTTACAAATGTACAATGGGAATTAATCACTTTTGTAAAAAGAGTAAATTGTATAATAGCTAACTTAAAACATTTTTATTTACACAATTAAACAATTTAATGGCAGATAATTTATGTAGCATCATCTGAGGCGGAAGTACCACCATCTTTTGGAACAAGCCCCATGGCCTGCAGCGCAATGGTGGCAGCTGAGGCCTTGGCATGCTTCTTGTTAGGACTAGGTAGGCTGGGTTTGTACTCTGTGCCATTGATCATCACCTGTCACAAACACATACTATAAATTAGAATGTCTTAAAGTAGATATTGTTGCAAATATTTCAGTTCAATTTATTTTTAAAACTTTTGATCCAAATTTAAGTCATGGATTTTGATTTGCAAAGATGTATGCACTTGGCCAAATCAAATTAGGCAGTTGCTCACCTGATGAAAAGTATGCATTGAGAGTATGAACCTCATCTGCAGTTATATACACAGATATCTAGCAGAGCAGAAGCCAGGCTGCTAGCCATAAAATTGCTAATGTACACAAGTTTTCAGAAGGATAATTTTCAATCATTTCCCTGTTCCTGATTTATTATCTAAATTTGCTTTATAACAAGATGGCTGGGCTCACGTCATAAATAATTTATAGCTTGCTAACAAACCTAGAGTCCTTCCATTAATATTTAGTTTTACAAAGCTTAAGCTGCACTAGAATTAAACAAATCTCAATTTTATTTCTATTCTACTGCACTCCAAATTTAGGAAATTAACAACATCTATTTGAAAATAGTTTCAGTTGAACTTACTGTAACTTTCTTATCCAAGATGTGTGGCAGTCATCCTCCACATGAGGAGGCACTGCTTTTGTGATTCTCAGGACATTCAATTCCCATTACCATCCCAGAATTTCAACATTACAGCTTTAGAATTGATGAAAAAAATACACATTTTATCAAAGCTTTTCATCTTGCATTTAACAGGATATTTCACAAATTCAAGTATAGAGAATACCAACGTTTATACGGCATGAAGAGAATAATGTTCAGAAAAGGCTACTGACTGTATGCAATCACCCAACATTAGATTTGGCAATTGGACAATGTTTACTTAATAATCCTAATCGTGATTGCTGACAACCAATTTACAATTGTCAGTGGGGCTTGCCTATATTGGAAGCGACATTAGTGCACACTAATGCTTTGTTCTTTGAAGGCAAAACATGTGTATATACTTCCTACTTGAATTCAACAATGCCTTGACCACTCAAATTACCACTGCCTCATTTAAACTTCAATGTGGAGGTGCTGGTTTTGGACTGGGGTGGACAAGATCAGAAATCACACAACACCAGTTATAGTCCAACTGGTTTATTTGAAAACAAACTTTCAGAGCCTCAGTCCTTATTCAGGTGTTAGGACTGAGGCTCCAAAAGCTTGTGTTTTCAAATAAACCTGTTGGACTATAATCTAATGTCGTGTGATTTCTGACCTGATTTAAACATTGACAGTTACCTGCCAAGCTTTGTTTAATCAGCATTAATGGTGTACATTCTCCATGGCAAAACTTCTTCCACTTCCCAACCACTCAGTATTCTCTGCCCGTGCAATGTAAAATGTTGGTGATTCCCCTTGAACCGGTATTGTAATATGTCTTGATGGGTGCAAGATGAAAAGCTTCAACGAATCATGTCTGTACCACCAAACAACTAATTATAGCTTGAGTATTAAAGTCATTGTGTTCCATTTTACTCTGCTTTGGTTTTAGCAGGTGTTATGCCCACAATGTGCAAAAGTTCTGTAATTTAAAGACATACTGATGCCAAGATCTTCATAAATTAGTAACCTGGATGTATTCTAATTACAGGTGAGAATGTCTTATGTGTGGTAATTTTTAAAAGCATCTATTTGCAATAGGGGTAGTAAGAACTGCCGATTCTGGAGTCAGAGATAACACAGTGTGAAACTGGAGGAACACAGCTGGCCAGGCAGCATCAGAGGAGCAGGAAAGCTGACATTTCAGGTTAGGACCCTTCTTCAGAAATTCTCCACACTGTATTTTTGCAATAGGGTTAGGTTTGATCATGAATTTTAACTACAGAGAAAAATAGAGGAAAAAATCTTAATACTTAAATGAGAATTTTAACATTATATTTGCTCACCTTAAACAAAAAATGTTTGCAATGATCAGGACCACTGTCATGGACCATCAGAAAATCAGGTGGTGGCCATTTTCTCTTGTTACAAATTTCCATCAATGCAGAAACAGGATGTTTTCCTATGGAATACACAACAAAAGAATGGCATTGAATCAGTCCAGTTATTTTCTTAACTTTCTGGATCCAGTAGGACTTGAACCCAGGCCTCCTTGCTCAGAGGCAGGGACACAGCCACTGTGCCACAAAAGGACCATTGAATTATTCTAAAATAGACTAATGCAATATAACAATTTCACATTAAATTTCAAATAGTTAGAGGCTAAACTGGGCAGGAATCACAAGGTAAGATTAACCTACACTGCGTTCAAAGAAATGCAGGCAGTAAGTCAACTTTTGTGCTGCCGATAGCCAGTGTTTCATGTGTCGATCATTTACTGCACACATACACAATGGGTTCAAAATTGTATCTTCTGAACATTGTTAAAGCAAGCCCAATGACCCTGCTTCAGAACACGAACAGATCCCTGTGCCCCATAGCACCAGTGGCCTAGGAATTGAAAAGCCTTCATCCCACACCACCAAACCACATATCATCTGTTTGACCTTTGCCAATTATGTGACAATGCCTGAACATTGTAGAGATGATCACATTGAGATTTTTCATTTTAATTTGGACCCTAACTCCTCAAACTCTCTTAGTGGAACATCATTCCCTGTTCTACCTATGCCATTGGTTCCACAACAACCAGATAGCCCCCCACCATTCCAGGTTTGTCTCCAGTTGCGAGATGTCCTTTCCCAGGCAGGCAGGCAACATAGCCTTTGGAATTCTTGGCCATGGCTGCAGGGAACAGCATTTTGACTATGCTGTCCCCTTTCACTACCACATTCCTTTACATACATCCCTCCCCCACCCTGTTTTGAAGGGCATCCTGCATTAAAGTGGCTTGGTTAGTTTGCTCATTCACCCAGGTTGCATATACCTGGTAGCTACTGATCAAAGTCAATAGTTGAGGTTCCTCTATCAAAAGATGCTGTACCCCCACATCTGCCTGAGTTGCAGGCACAGGAGTGTGACTGCCTCCCAGAATAAACTGTTCAGGTAAATCTCACTAGATTATCCAGATGCTCTACATCATCTGCAGTTCAGACTCCAGTTCACAAATTACAAGCTGAAGCTGGAAAACCCACAGGCACCACAGCTTTAGACACCCAATGCAGACTGCATAACCACAGTTGAAAACTTCCACTCTATCCGGAGGAATGATCCCAACCTCCCAAGTGCTTACTATTGCAATAAACCACCTTGTGTCAATAATAACATTTCCATCCAAACACTGCTAAATGTAGCTCCACGCAAACTTGAGTAACAACACCTCATTATCTGCATAGGCACATTACAGTCTTCAGGGCTCAATAGTGAGTTCCACACTCCAGAGCATTACATATTTCCTCTACTTTTCTGACATCACCCTGACTGTGTCTTGTAGACTTTGCTCTCAGTATAGCATCCCATTTTCTCCTTTTCATATCACAGGACCATAAGAAATAGATATAGGAGTGGATCATTTTTGGGTCCTCAAGCCTTCTCCACCATTCAGTAGGACCGTGGTTGATTTGACATTCCTCATGACCTCACTTTCTTGCCTTTTCCCCTGCCAATTCCTCTTGATTCCCTTACTGATCAAGAATCTATCCCAACTTTAAATATACAAAAGGACACTGCCCCCACAGCTCTCTTTGGCAAGCAGTTCCAAAAACCCTCAACCCTCTGTGAGGAGGAATTCCTCCTCATCTCAGTCTTAAATTACCACCCTTTAATTCTGAGACTATGCCATCTGCTCCAGGACTCTCCCATGAGGAGAAACATCTTCTGAGCGTTTACCCTGTCAAGCCATTTAAGAATCCTATATAGTTCAATGAAATCACCTCACATTCTTTCAAACTCCAGTGAGGAGAATCCCAGTCTGTTTAGCCTTTGCTCATAAGACAATCCCTCCATACTGGGGATCATCCTACTGATTCTTCTCTGAACTGCTTCCAATGAAATGATCTCTTTCCTTAAATAAGGGGACCAAAACTGTTCTCAGTATTCCAGATGTGATCTTACCAGCACCTCTTATACAGTTGCAGTAAGACTTCCCTACTCACACTCCAACCCCCTTGAAATAAGATACAACATTCTATTAGCCTTCCTGATTACCTGCTGCACCTCTGTGCTAGCTTTCTGTATTTCCTGCACAAATATCTCCAAGTCCCTTTGTTTTGCAGCTTTTGTCTATTTACATAATTTGTTCTACTCACTCTTCCTCCCCTTCTGTCAACAACATAAAAACCACTATTTTCCAGCCCCTTTCAGTTCTGAAGAGTTATACTGGGCTTAATATGTTAACTTTGTTTTTCCCTTCACATATGCTGCCAGACCTTTTTTCCAGCATTTCTATTTTTATTTCAGATTTTCAGCATCCACAGTATTTTGTTCTTATTTGGTTGGGACTGTAATGCATTGTAGTTATTACACACCACTGTTCTGCCATGTATCTATTTAATTGTTTCCTAAATTAGTAGCCAGTTAGCTAAAGTAATATCAACCTGAGGGTCCCAAAATATAGAGACAAAAGAATAAAACGCATCAAAAAAGAAGATAAAACAAAAAGAATAAAAACCAGCACCTCCTTCCCACACAGTCTGGCAATCTGCCCTCCAGCTGAATACTAGAATTGCAGAAATTACACCCTGGCAAAAGGCAGCACTTGCATGGCACACAAACCTACTGTCTCTCTCAGCCACTCTTACCAAAGCCATTTTGCCAATGCAGCCAGCCAATCCCAGTCTGCTGGTGGCCATGCCAGAATACTGCAGTCTGAAGCTCTGACCTCAATAGCATCCTGCAGACCCAGTTGCATTCCCACCATTGGAAGTCTGCAGACTTGCCCAGGCCTTGCTGCAGCCACTAGGATCACAAGCATCGTGTAGGAGCACTAGAGAAGCCAAAGGCATGTGGAAAGCATGAAGCAAAAAGTGGAGCAGTGAATAGGTTAGGAGGTCATTATGTCAGAACTGGGGATCTTTGCTGATGACTGCACAACGTTCAGCAATGTTTGTGGCTCCTCAGATATCAGCACACCATTTCAAATGCAACAAGACCCAGACTTGGGCTGGAAAAGCAGCAAGTAACATTCATGCCACACAAATGCCAAGCATCTCTAATAAGAGACAAACTAACTACCACCCCTTGACATTAAATGGAGTTACCATCACTGAAACCTTCACTATCAATATCCTGAGGGTTGCCATTGACCAGAAACTGAACTGGACTCACCATATAGATAGAGTGCTTACAAGAGCAGGTCAGAGACAAGGTCTCCCCAGAGCTTAGCCATCATCTACAAGGCACAAAGTTGCACACTGAGGGATTTCACTGAGGTGAAAATTTCACTGTGCATGAATCACAAAATGCTGGCATAGAAGTTCAGCAGGTAAGAGTGAAGGGGACGGAGTATCAAAAATAGAGAAGTCTTGCTAAACCTATACAGACCAATAGTCAAACCACACCTGGAATAAACTGAACAGTTGTTAGTTAAGACATATATCCAAGACAAAGATAAGATAGATTTTAAACTGGTAAGGGAATCAAGGGTTATAAGAATAAGGCAGGAAAATGGAGTTGAGTATAATCAGATCAGCCACAATCTCATTCAATGGCAGAGCAGACTCAATAGGCTGATTGGCACACTTCTACTCCTACTTCTTATAGTCTTATATACGCTTTACACCATGATTTCATTCATGAAGTTAGTTTGAATAGTTTATCTTGTGACAGTAATAGAGGGAGATGTGGGGCTGAGTTCAATTCAGGGTGCAGGTCCTGATATCAAATGAAATAGAGCTGAAACAAATTGTCAATGCTCCAACTCCCTTTCTCTTTTCCTCCTCCCTCTTCTAACAGCTTGTTCTGTTGTGTGTAGCCTCTGCTTACTCTCCAGTCATGTTCTATGCCAAGAGAAAAGTCTACTAATGCACCCATGTTTGGCAGCAACCTTATTTTCCAAAAGCGTTTAAGTCTAGAAAAGTGCTTCAGCAATTTTCTTGCTGACCTTTTCTATTTGGAACAACAATGGAGAGCATCAAACTGTAATGGTCAGAAGAAACCAACTGTCACTTAACCTGGAAATAGTCTCCTCAACACTATCTTCCAAACTCATGACCACTATCTCCCAGAAGAACAAAGGGACAGTGCAGCTGCAAGTAACCATCCATATCACACACCATCCTGACACGGAATTATATTGCCATATCTTTATTGTCACTGAATCACTATCCTGGAATTCCTACCAACCAGCAGTGTGGGTTTATCTATGAATACGAATGTATAAATTCAAGAAGGTGGCTCATCACCACCTTTTCAAGGACAGTTGCAGATTGCCAAGAAATGCTGGCCTTGCAAAGTGACAACACATCCTATGAATAAATAAACTGAAGTTGATGAGCTTCCAGGGAAGTGGAGAGTATCCTCTCACACTCCTGACTTGTGTGTTGAAAATGAAGAACAGACTTTGGGGAGTCAAGAAGTGATTTATGTGCCACAGTGTTCCGAGACTCTGATCACTTTTGTAGCCACAGTACTTATGCAGTCAAACTAGTTAAGTTTCTGGTCAACCTTGAAGAATGTTGATGACAAGTCAGCTGAAGAAAAGTCTTCGACTTTAAACAGCTCACCACAGACGCGGTCAGATCTGCATTTTCTGTTTTATTTCAGATTTCTACTATCCACAGTATTTTGTTTTCATATCAACAAAACATCAATATGTAATGGATTACACATCACATAGGAATTTATACCTGACAGATCCTTCATTGTAGCAAAGTTTGCAGGTTTCTTATGCGTTTTCTCACCTTCAGCTACAAGACCTAAAATGGCATAAATGGAAGCCATTAATCTGTGCAAAAAATGAACTAAACTTATTTTGATATAATGTTAACTTTCAACACTGCTAACTTTAAATACTGGAATGTCATGTTCATTTTAATATTTTTGAGGTCCCAAAATGCATAATACCAACAGATCGATACAGCAATGATCATGTTGAATCACTGGTTACACTACCATTAGCTAGAGTTATTATGGCAATGCATCTGCCCTCAAAGAATTAGAAAAAATCTATAAGATTTTCAAAGACAGTGCAGTGTTTTCCGTTTGTTCCTTAGAAAAGTGATTTCCTTCTCTTGTCACTGAAGAGGAACAGCATGTGGCATTGCGTGCACATATTTCTGTACGTGGATTAAGAAACTAAAGATGTAGTAAAGGAATGAACAACAGTGTAAAGTGGTGGAGACCACAATGGAATACATTTTCATTTTTAATGTTCCCTGTGCAAAGCATATTGAAAAATGTGCCTTATACCACCCATACATTTTCTGTTCATTCTTCTTGATAAATGAGAAATTGTGAATTGTACATGTCTGTTTTTCTAATACATACTCTTGGCACACAGAGCACTATTCTCGGAGCTGCTTTGACAAAGACATTTACCCCTGTATCATTTCTATGATGTGTTAAAGTTTATAGAACCTGGTCTGAATGGGCTTGTAAGTTATTATGCTTCTGACTTTCACCTTAATAATCTGCATGAAAAGCTTACACTTCTACATTAACAATGTTTGTGAGACCACCACATCAGTTTTGCTGCTGTCAAGCAATTATATTTACCATTGTATGAATAAACTGAAGATAAAAGAGCATCATTACCTTTACGATCAATCTTGAAGTCAACGACTATGGGTTCTACCGGTCCATTTTTGTTTTTTCCCAGCCCTTCTCCTTGTCTCCAACCCATTTTCTGCATCAAATGTGCTCCCATTCCTCCAGATAAAGGTGCAGCCTTCAGGAACTGGTCCTGTTTATAAGTAGACAAGCTAAATAAAAACAAATCTTACAAGGGGCCATAATTAGCCTTTGAGATCGAATCCATCAGTCAGATAAATTAACACAATCTGTGGAACTCAGAAATGCATACATACTCAAGAGTATTTTAAAATATAGATCAAACATTCCAGAACAGAAATAAAAAGCCATTGCTTAAAGAAATTATGAAGAGTTTTAGGGAAAAGGGCACATGCATGAAAAAACCTTTGCAAAGTCAGCTCTGCAAACATTTAAAATGCAGATTAAAGAAATGTATTTAAAAATTCCTTTAGTAAGGCTACATACCTAGATCTCTGCTGCCTGCATATTGTGAAAAGTAAGGTTGAAGCTAACTATAGCAACAAGGCAACTACAAGGATTTGACCTTGCACCAAGTTTCCAGACACAGAAGTGGAAGTTCACAGGTCAGTCTTTGAACTATCACCTCTCTTTTTCTTTTCCATCTCCCAACCATCCCTTTCAAAACATCAACAGGCACTGCAGAATACCAATATTTCAACAACATTTCAGACATTTTTAAGGAAGTAACAATTAGTACATGAAACAGAATCTGGCAGCCAAATGCTATTATTTTTAAATGTTAATGGTTGAAAGTAGTAGACTGATGTGAATTGGAGTCATGAAAATTTACTGAAAAGGCAGATCTGGTATTGCAGTACAAACTTTGCCATGTTCAATGTTTTTTTTGGAAAAGACTGTGTGGTGAACTTTTCAAATAGTTTGACTATCAAGGCAGCTACTCTTCATGCATTACAACAACAAAGAATGGCATTTGACACAAGGCACTCAATAAAGTTATGACAGGATCCCTTGAGAAGTTATCCACATTTAATATTCCATTTCATGTTTATCTGCCCAGTGTTAAATAAATAAACTTTTTCCACTAAATCACAATCATTCAAGTAACAAATAAAGAAATATATCATGGGATCTACCCTGATATTCATTTAGCCACCCTGACGACAGATGAAGAGTGCCCTGCAATTTTGAGAAAAATCAGACCAAACAGTTGTAGAGCTCTAGACAGGCCTCAAAATCAGGCTGGCATAGGCACCAGCGAAGCGAGCCCTGTGGGGTGAGAGCCATAATTGCAGATGATGGGGTCTTCCAAGGCATCAGCAGACAGATTATTTGTGTGTGACCTGGGGGTGCAGCCCTGGGAAGGCAGCATCCATACAGTTCCTAAAATTTCAAACAGTAATTGCGGACCCAGGTACGTCACAGGATCCGAATTTCTCTGTCAGAAGTGGCATGTTGCTTGAAACAAGAGACACTCAGGATGTTCAGTCATAAGCCTCTTTCAAAACAGGGTCCTGCCATAGTGCATTACATTACCAGGGAAGCTAATGCCACTGAGGCCAGCACCTCTATACTAATGCAAGCCCATGGGAGAACTTCCCTCCTGATGCACACAGTTACTTTTTGAACCAATACTTAGAAAAAATTTGTTTTACGTTCAGTCAAGGGAATGTGGGTAAAACTCTCTTGGCCAGCATTTACTGCCTATCCCTAACTGTACTGACAGTGATAACAAGCCACCTCTTAAGCCGCTGTAGTACTTATGGTAGGGACACCCACAGTCAGAACAGTGAGTGTTACTAGGGGGCATAGGTTTAAAGTTCAGTTACTAGGGGCCATAGGTTTAAGTGCGAGGGGCAAGGTTTAAGGGTAATGTACGAGGCAGGTTTTTTACACAGAGGGTGGTGGATGCCTGGAACTTGCTGTCGGTGGAAGTAGAGAAAGCAGATACTATAGTGACTTTTAAAGGATGTTTTGACAAATCCATGAATAGGATGGGAATAGAGGCAATAAGGTCCCTGGAAGGGTAGGGGGTTTTAGTTGTGACGGGCAGCATGTCGGTGCAAGCTTGGAGGGCCAAAGGGCCTGTTCCTGTGCTGTAATTTTCTTTAATTGCAGGTTTGGGGACCGCTTTGCAGAACACCTACGCTCGGTTCGCAACAAACAACTGCACCTCCCAGTCGCAAACCATTTCAACTCCCCCGCCCACTCCTTAGGCGACATGTCCATCCTGGGCCTCCTGCAGTGCCACAACGATGCTACCCGAAGGTTGCAGGAACAGCACCTCATATTTCGCTTGGGAACCCTGCAGCCCAATGGTATCAATGTGGACTTCACAAGCCTCAAAATCTCCCCTCCCCCAACTGCATCCTAAAACCAACCCAGATTGTCCCCGCCTCCTTAACCTGTCCTTCCTCCCACCTATCCCCTCCTCCTACCTCAAGCCCCACCCCCACCCCCATCTCCTACCTACTAGCCTCATCCCACCCCTTGACCTGTCCGTCCTCCCTGGACTGACCTATCCTGTCCCTAACTCCCCACCTACACTCACCTTTACTGGCTCCCATCTTTTATCCGCCTCCCTCTCTATTTATTTCAGAATCTCCTTCCCCTCCCCCATTTCTGAAGAAGGGTCTAAGCCCGAAACGTCAGCTTTCCTGCTCCTCTGATGCTGCTTGGCCTGCTGTGTTCATCCAGCTCTACACCTTGTTATCTCAGATTCTCCAGCATCTGCAGTTCCTACTATCTCTATAATTTTCTTTGTTCTTTGAGTGCGGTTAAAAAGGGAGTTACAGGATTTTGACCCAGTGATAACCAAGGTCCAGCTGCTTAGATCTAGTCAGAATGGCTTGTGGTTTCGAGAGGAATCTGCAGGTGATGGTAGTTTTCTTATTCACACATGGGATATGGGTACTGCTGGCTGGCCAGCATTTACTGCCCATCACTAGGTGCCCTTGAGAAGTTGGTAGTGAGCTGCCTTCTTGAACTGCTGTAGTCCACAATGCTCTTAGGTAGAAAATAGCAACACTGAAATAAAGACAATAATATTTCCTAGTCAGGATGGTGAGTGCCTTAGAGGGGAAATTTCAGGTGGCTGTGTTCTGTTGCCCTTGTCCCATTAGATGGAAGTGCTTGTGGCAATCTAAGGATCATTAGTGAATTTCTGCAGAGTGCATCTTTGTAGATAGTACACATTGCTGCTAGCGAGTATTGGTATTAAAGTGACTGAAGAGGTGGATGTGCTGCCAATCAACTGGGCTGATTTGCCCTGGATAGTGTCAAGCTTTCTGAATGTTGCTGGAGCTGCACTCATCCAGACAACTGGGGAGTATTCCATCACATTCCTGACTTGTGCCTGCATATGGTGGCCAAGCTTTGGGGATTCAGGTGGTGAGTTAGTTACTGCAGTGTTTGTAGCCTCTGTCCTGCTCTTGTGGATAGTCTATTTATAGGGGGAAGCAATGGCCCAGTGGCATTATCACAGGACTGTTAATCCAGGGATCCAGGTAATGTCCTGGAGACCCAGATTTGAATCCCGCCATGGCAGATAGTGGAATCTGAATTCAATAAATATCTGGAATTAATAGTCTAATGATGACCATGAATCCATTGTCAAATGTCTGAAAAAGGCATTTGGTTCACTAACGTCCTTCAGGGAAAGAAACTGCCATCCTTACTTGGTCTGGCCTACATGTGACTCTTAACTGCCCTCTGGACAATTATGGATGGGCAATGAACGCTGGCCTAGCCAATAATGCCCTCATCCCATGAATGAATGAAAAAAAAAATGATGATTCCAGTTCAGTTTCTGGTCAATGATAATCGCCAGAGTGTTGATAGTCAGGTATTCAGTGATTGTAAAGCCATTGAATGTCAAGGTGTGGTGCTTAGTTTGTCTCTTAATGGAGATGCTTGGCATTTATGTGGCTTGAATAATACTTACCAATTTCAGCCAAAGCCTGGATATTATCCAGTTCTTGTTGCATTTGGACATTGACCATTCCAATATCTGAAGAGCCATGAATGTTGCTGCATATTGTGCAATCATTGGCGAACGTCCCCATTTCTGACCTCATGATGTAGGGAAGGTCATTGATGAAGCAGTTGAAGACAGTTGGGCCTAGGATACTACCTTGAGGTATCCCTGCAGGGATGTCCTGGAGCTGAGAAGGCTGACTTCCAACAACCCCAACCATCTTCCTACATGCCAGGTAAGATCTTGGAGATTTACATCGCAATTCCCATTGATTTCAATTTTGCTGAGGCTCCCTGATGCCACACTCAGTCAAATGTGGCCTTGATATCAAGGGCTGTCATACTCACCTCACCTCAGGAATTCAGCTCTTTTGTCAGTGTTTGAACCAATGTTGTAATAAGGTCAGGAATTGCGTGACCCTTGAGGAAACTGGACATCACTGAGCAGGTTATTGCTGAGCAGGTGCTGCTTGATAACATTGTTGATGACACCTTCCATCATGTTACTGATAGTCGTGAATACACAAAGTCCCTGGCACTACCATCACCATCCCTGGATATGTTCTGTCCCATTGACAGGCCAAGCAGAGGTGGGTGGCAGTACAGTGATATACAGTCAGGAGGGAGTTACTCTGGGAGTTCTCAGCATTGACTCCTGACATCATGAAGTCTCACAGCCACAAACATGAGCAAGGACAGGCTCCTGCTGACTGCCATGTACTGTTGTTCTTTGGTTGATGAGTTAGTACTCCTCCATGTTGAACAACTCTTGGAGGAAACACTGAGGGTGGCAAGGGCACAGAATGTATTCTGGGTGGGGGATTTCAACATCCACCACCAAACGAATGGCTTGCAGATGGTTAGAAAACCAAGAAGAGGGAAAAACCTACTTGACCCCATCCTCATCAACATGCCAGCAGATGCAACATGAATCTGCTGCTCTCATTCTAGGTGTTAATAGAGATGACATGGTTGGAAGGTTTTGTCAAAGGAGCCTTGGTGAGTTGCTGCAGTGCATCTTGGAGATGGCACACTCTCTTGCCACTTGGCATCGGTGGTGAAGAAAGTGATTATTGGACCCTATAGGGCTGTCCATCAAGTGGACACTTATGTACCGGATGGTATCAAGCTACTTGAGTGTTGTTGAAGTTGCACTCTTCCAGGCAAGTTGAGAGTATTCCATCACACTCCTGACTT